TATATGATATGATATATGCTAACATTACCTTTGTCGTACATACCGATGGCTTACATACCGGTGTGAGCATAACAATGAAAATTTTCATGAATAAGATCCACCGTAACTTTCATACATAGTTATAATAATATATATGAATTTGAAAAACAAATTGTATAGGGTTATTTTCAATAGGGCGTCTCAAACCAGGTAAGGCTCATTATTAAAGGAGCGATATTAGTATGGCATGAATTTCATTTCTTTGTGAAATATGTTGCAGCAGTCTTTGGCCAAAATTTGAATTTACTTCTTTTCTGTGACATTTTGCAAAAGTGCTCTCTTGTGACCACCGTGCTGACGACAATAATAATATTATGGTCTGAATTGGGATGCCTCATTTAAGTTTAAGAGCGTAATATGTGCTTGTCGATCTAGTGCTGTGAGCTGTGAAGACTGACATGTCAATTCCTGGCATTTCCATCACAGTTTTCATCCATCTGCTCACGGTATCTTTACTGACAGGCTTAAAAGTTTCTGAAAACTAATAAGCAATTTTGAGCAGTTTCTTTGTTCTCTAAGCTGCTTTGTCTTTTCTATGGGTGATTTTATAATATGTACGACTTTTGTTTTCTGGAAAAGCCACCAGTTCTAGAGGAGTTTGATGCTTTCCTTTCCTGGAATGTTTGAGCAAACTATTGAAATAAAATACACATTTTGAATCAGTTAATTGCATATTATGTTCTGTATCCAGACTGTGTATTGTTTGGCAGCGTTGACCAGGCAAAAAGGCTTGCATTATTATGAGCTTTAGTGTCAATTCTTTCATCGACAATATTTAAATCGGGAACCAGGGATCTAAAATCTAATACGGGGTGCCCACTACGGCTGGATCGGGCCGATCGCCTGACTCGATCGCCTGAAACTGAAAACAAACACGTTTGTTTTTTAGGCGATCGAGTCGGGCGGTCGGCCCAATCGGCTGATCCCAGCTGTAGTGGGCACCCCGTATAAAAGATTTGTTGTGGATTATACGTGGATACTCTGCTAGATAAAGGTATTTGAGGTTTGGGGTTGATCATTTTGATCTGACAAATTCAGAAACCTATAATACTCTCTTCGGCCTATCTCATCCAGAAGACTGGGGTGCTATTTGTCTGAGAATTATACTCTCGGAACTAGTGCCAAGAAGACAATCAGAGGTAACAGGATACTCGATAGTTTGTGTGTGTGTGTGTCAGTGTTCTTTTACGTTACGGTGCTTGCAACTGCATTAGGTCGTACGAGCGCAAGGGACACATTAAACATTTTCAGTTGGAAGGAAATTTTGAATTTTGCCAGGGTGGCGGCCGAAGCCTACTCTTATCGATTTTGAACAACCAAGGGATCATTAACGTGCGCCACTTGCACACAGGACCTGAGAGATTTTTCACCCTTGTCCGAGAAGGCTAGGTGTAGATATTCCATACCAGAAGATCAGGTGTGTGGCTGAAAGACAGCAGTAAGAAGGGGTCAAGAAGTAGCAGTAGAAACGCTGAAGAAAGAGTCAGGAGCCAAGAGGAGGTGAGGGGGTGGGGGCAGAAAATGGAGACGACAGAACATTGCTTGAGAGCACGAAAGGAGGTGAAAGGGAACGATTTAGAGAAGAAAAATTTCCCGTCGTTATCCGGATTCGAACCCGGGACCTATTGAATGAGAGGCGAACACTATACTTTAACCTCAAGGCCACAAAAGCCCCCAGATACTCGATAAAACTTTTCCTCACACGAGAATCGAACTCACGTCTGCTCTGTGTGAAACACGCTACACCACAGACGCCAGTATACACACAGGGGGGTAGACCGTTCTACTCACATATTATATACATCATGTACATGTACAGAGGTGAAATGATATATGTTTAACGCCCCTGTCAACACTGTTAGGTTATTTAAGAGGCGGCACCTCTGAGTTTCACGTCCATCTCCAAAAGTACCGAGCAAAATGGAAAATTCGGGACAAAAGTGCCTTCCCAAGGACACAATATCGGATTGAAATTGAACTGAGGCTCGAACCCCTGAACCAGCATCTCAAGGTACCGAGTCCAGCAGCCTAACCACAAGGCCACCGATGTCACCAATGTAGGGAGGTGTAGATTGATGTATGTGTACATGTAGAGAGGTGTAGACAAATCTACAAATATATGTACATGTAGAGAGGTGTAGACAGATCTACAAATACATGTACATGTAGAGTGTAGAGTGGTGCAGACAGATGTACAAATATATGTACATGTAGAGAGGTGAAGACAGATGTACACACACACACACACACACACACACACACACACACACACACACACACACACACACACACACACACACACACATATATATATATATATATATATATATATATATATATATATATATATATATATATATATATATATATATATGTATATATATGTACATGTAGAGAGGTGTAGACAGATGTACACATATATGTACATGTAGACAGATGTACACATATATGTACATGTAGAGAGGTGTAGACAGATGTACACATATCGCTACCTCAGGATTACAAAGTTCTATCTGACATTTTCGGCCGTTTTGAGTTATTAAGTCCGTGAGGACAGAAACCAAATATTGTGTCTGCTCTATCAAAATCGTAAGATTATCGGGAATAGTTATTTTATTCAAAGAATTTCATTCGAAAAAGCATGACATATTGTGAAACTCATAATCTTTTTACGTCAGATTTCTCAAAACTATGTACTGAGCAGGTAGAATGATTTGACGACCGAAATAAAACTTGATACCTTCAAAAGGGGACTCAAAACACATCTATTTAGGAAATATTTTAATTAATGGACATGCAGTACCTTGCTTTTTTGTATGAGCTTTTTTTATTGTCTGAAAGTGAAAGAATGTTGCTGCCAAAATGTGTGCATATGATGAATTTGTATGGTGTTAGTATGAATGCGTTTTTAATCTCCTATGTACGCCTTGGGCCCATGTTGTGGGGAAAGGCGGGATACAAATGCTCTTATTATTATTATCATTATTATTATTATTATAATTATTATTATTATTATTATTATTTATTGTTATTTTTTTTTTTTTAAATTTTTATTATTATTATTATTATTATTATTATTATTATTAACTTTGTAATTTTGAGGTAGCGATATATTAGGCCTACATGGGGTGGAGACAAGGTCAACTACAGAGGAGTCCGCTTAAACAGAAATGTGCAGGACCGCCAGATGCTCTCCGGTTTAACACGAGAAATATTCAGGGCAAAAAATACGATGTTTGGCAAAAATTATTGATTTTTATCTTTATATCGGATTGGCTACTTCAACGTATTGGGTATAGATCTGACGTGTTACTTTTACCAAGAACCCATTTTTGAAACACGCTGCCAATCATTTTAGTAGGTACCCCCTTTCAAATTACGTGCAAATTTTAGAAGTAAAGAAAACTTTTGCTTAGTTGATCCATTAATTTTCTACCCTGACAACCAAAACAATCCCGTAGATCTTCTGCTAACGAGTTCAGCGCGGAAGTCAGACTGAACCACAGAATTCTACACTTACTTTCGTCGAGTCAAGGACACACGCTTCGGTTTATTCATAGCTCCAACGTTTTTCCCCCATTAGCCTAGCCCAGAACGCTTTCAATCCCAGGATGCAACATCTCCGCGTGTTTTGTCACCAGCGCACAACACATCTCCGAATCTCCGGGTTTTCGTAAGATTACCGTAAGCTTCTGTCATTTGAAAAAGGGGAAGAACAACTGAAATTCTTCAGCTTTGACAATGTTTCAATTCATATACTATGCAGGTAAGAGCATATTTCATTCACTGGTGTTTTGTCTTGAACTTGTATAGCCTAATACGATCGTAAGTCGTAATATCAGCTGCTTGTTGACCTACGACTACGAGGTCTTCTAAGTTAATGCGAGTCTAGATCTAGTAATGGCCTACTAGAATTAGGATTAGACTAATCGGATTAGCACACACTACTGGGACTGGCTTGTTTTACGAACAGCATTGGCAATATTCAGTACTTCATTTCATGAGCTGAATGTTTGAATTACTTTTAGTTTAGGGAGAACTGATGAGGAGTATAATAAGCAAGTTTTGGAATGGAGGTGTGTGCATTTTCGGAACAAGTTGCCTTGTCACGGGCGAAAGCTGTGAGTGTGTGGACCACTTGCAAAGCCACATGAGCTTTGACCTGCTTTGACATTTTATCGATCGACTGACCTAGTAGAACAGACAGGATTTTAACCACATAATGCCACATATTATGCATTCCCTCACTTTTACAGTCTTCAGTGTTCGGGCATAATTCTCTTTTCTCTATGACTTGACGTTGCTCTAGTCCAGTTTGAAGTTTCCGGTTTTCCTTCAATTGTTTTCGTATTGAGATCTAGATTCTAGCTATCACTGGGGCGGGGAAAAAATAAATTTAAAAATAAAAGCTGAAAATCTTCCGTTCCGGACTTTAGACACAAGTGGATAAGATTATGTCTCATTAACTTGTCGTGTGCTCTGTTTTCAACTTATATCAAATTACAAGTGTGTTAATTAAACTGCTGCTCATCTGGGTTAGATCATGAATATATAGATCTATGTGATTACAAGTTTTATTTGGCCGTGCTTTAAAATCTTATACAGTAATTCAATGGTAACATTCAGCATTTATTTGTAATGTGGTCTTATATTGAACTATATGTGTGGCGTTCAGACAAAATGAGTTACTTCTCGCAATCCACAAATGGAGATATTGGCAAAAAATCAACACCGAGGTCAAATTAGTAGTTCTTTTATTGATGCTCAATTTTTTTATATACAATATGCCTCTTTTTATTTCATACTTATAAATTGTAAAACTTCACTTATAAACATGATGTTTCTATTTCCATAAGGCTTGAATCAGAGAAGTAACTCATTTTGTCAGCACACTTCACATATTTTAATTTACTCCCTTACACCACAATTCATGGTAATCGCACCCAATTCCTTCTATTCTTACTGTTTTGTGTTTTTTTCGGGAGAGGAGGGAAGGGGGGGGGGGAGGGGGGCATTCAAATTAATAGCAAAAACGATGTACAAGAAATATGTAGATATACCTAATTAATATTTTGTAATGAGTGCTCTCAGTTTTCTTGAGGTACTCTAACATTGGTGCCATTAGGATAAATTATACGTAGTACTAGTAGTGATTTGTTGCCAAATACTTTTCTCTCTAGCTGGTTGGGTTTTTTTTGGTTTTGTTTTACCAACAAATTGGTAATTCACTAATCCGCTTGTGTATTTTCCCAGCTTTTCTAATCTGTGAAGGCCCAGCTTACAACTGATAAGTGACTGACTCATGACTGTAAATCCTCAAGCCTGAATGTCGGGTCAACTAGTGGCCCATCTTGGTAAAGAGAGCGAAGGTGTCATAGGGGTTGCTCACTCTAATACAAGATGAGGAACACCTCACTCATTGGTGATGGAGATTCAAAATCATTCCCACTGTATTAGTCCTCAACCCCTATGATTTCATACTCACAAGGAGGTGGTGTGTGTCAACCATGTGGCAAAAAAGTAAGTCAAAATTGATTGTGATTCTTACGTGTCATGATAAATCAGAGTGATTTATTTCAGATGCCCGATGTCTCTCTCAGAAAAATGTATCACTTCTACTTAGGCTATACTTATAGAGTGATTAGCTCATTGAAAACAATGTCTTATTCAATTTAAGTGAAGAGAAGTAAAGGGCAAACAATAACTGCACTTTTATTGATACTGATCTCATTCAGATTACATTCAGATTACAGATTAGGCCTAGTATTAGTGTGAGAGATAATGCACCCCTTTCCCTCCATTTAAACCTATTTATGCTCATCAACTGTGCTTCAACTCTTTTGTCAGCAGCTGACACAAGTAAAAGTACTGTGATTGAAAATGTAATAATAGATCTAGTTTGATGATAGAAATTTGCATGTTTGGCTTTGTTTTCATTACTGTTGAACTTTGTAAGCCTGTCACTGGTGATTTTGTTAGCTTGAAAAAATTACTTCCAAGAATGAGAGAATGGTTCTATAAATGAAACCTGTTTTGTATGTCATATCATTTCAGTCTCACCTCTGTACTTTGCGAAATCTGGGAGCCATCGAGAAAAAGAGAGGTGTAGCGCTTGGAGAGAGAGATTTTGGTGCACTGACTCAGGTACCGTATTTGAGGATAAGAAATTTCACTTGACTATCCCCTATTTTTCAAAGTCCCATCAATCAACAATTATTGCGCTATTCCCCACAAGCAAAACTTAGCCTGTTTGTGACTTAAGATATGATGGATGTTTGTTCATTTTTTTTTTAGTGGAGAAGGAAGCAATCTGGGACCTACGGTGCTTGTCATGCCTTGTGAAGCACGAGGACCATGATGATGAACGCTGTTCATCATATTTTGCATTTGGCATACTGCTTCATAACATGTATTTCATAAAACTAATTGCAGATTCACATTCAGCCACATTTTGGGGATATTTTCAGAAATGTTTTTTTCCTTTTAGAGATACATGTAGTAGAATTTATAAACTGAGTCTAATCATATATGCAACCAACCGCTTATCTAGCGCTACTCTTTGTCCCTGGAGATCAAAATCAACAACTGTCTGATGGAGCACAAACTGACACTGTGTAAAGAAGGGGTTCATGCATTCACTCACTCTCAGACTCACAGAAGTGTGTCAGTGTAGAAAGGGAGATTATCATTATCACTAGGCCCTAGGCTAGGCGTACACAGTTGCTGAGTCGCCGGTGTGTAGTGTGCACTGTATGTAGACTGTGACACAGCACCTCTGGTGGTCAAGAGTGAAGGGGTTGTGGGGAAAATTAACATTAGTAGGCTACATTTCAGGTAGGGGGCAAATAGTAGCCTATGTTTATAGAGGCATTCCTTTTTGTGCTTTGGCAAAACCTGGTGGAAAGCTGGGTTAGTGAAACAGGTGGCAGTTTTGCAGGGTTTGAGTGTATATATTCTGCTTTCTTGTCCTTTTGGGGTTTTTTGTTAAAAATGAAATTGGACTATTATCAGCTGAATTCTTGTGCTTGGGATCTGCATAAATAACTCCCTGCTGCTTAGAGTGTTAAATGGGTTTTTAGTCTGCAATTACAATTTTGCCATTGAATGCGTTGCCAGCTTCTGTCTGCAGAGGATAATACCAACACCTAAATCCTTATTCTTATGGGTTTTTTCCAGGTTTTTTTCTCTTCTTTTCTTTCCAACCAGGAGAAGATTGGATGTCTCCAGTCCTATTACACAAAACCTCTGAGGTTGTTCAACTCTTTCCACTGCTAATGTAAGAAGCAGTTGTGGCCACGTTGCTGCACAGCACCGGCACAGATGGAGACCACATCATGACAGATGCCCACCTACTGGTGAAAACAACTGGTGCTTTTACAGTACATGTATAACACAGACAGGTCAAACACAGAAGACTCAAAATCACGCATCCGTAGAACTGTGCCTGCGGTCCCGTTTTTTTTTCCCCCCTTCTTTATCTTTTAAAGATATCCTTCGAACTACAGATCCCTAGGACTATGGATGCCTCAAACTACCGAGGCCAGTCCCAACGAATTTATGCTATCTGTATTATACTGTACTTTTACAAAAGGCATTACAGCCAAAGAAGCACAGCACCATCACACAAGGGAAGGCTTTCTACCCACCTCAAACCCCCTCATTTATGAAGCCTGTGCACCACAGATGAGCTAATGGAGATCAAGTATGTGCCTGTGTCCTGGCATGACACTAAAATAGAATGGGGGTTTCCATATATATATATGCTCACGGCTGGTTGAAGGGCCCTAAGACGGTCTTTGTGACCAATCCAAGAGTAGAAGTAGCTTTTGCTATCACTACTGCACACTGGAATTTGGGGGCCCTTTGCACCCAGACGTTTATGCCAGTTCTTAAATTGCAGGTCTCAGCCCAAACCATGGACAGTGACATCAAAAGGGACTGTACCAAAATTTAGAGGGCAGAGACTGCCATAGAGCTGTCCTCAGAGAAATTCGCGCGCGCAACCCGCAAGTTGCACGCGCAACTTTTGCCCTCAGCTCAACTTTTGCGCAACTTTTACCATTTTCATGAATTCGCGAATTTTAGCCAATTTCCTGCAAAATTCGGGAAAATAATAATAAATTGTCATTAAAAACACCGAAATTTTCTTCCGCGGCTAAAAATGATAGGGGGTGACAATTCGCTCCTTTGCACTACGGGGTGCCCGCCGCCGCCGCCCAGTGACCCGGGCCAGGTCAGGTCGGGTCAGGATGATCGCCCGACTTGTCGCCTGAAAACAACGTGTTTGTTTTGAAACGAGTCGGGCGCGATCGACTTATGCCATGATAGCCGCTTTGCATCATAATCTGGCGAGCAAACCGACCCAATAGTCTTGTTTGTACTGAATCATCTTCTAGTCTAGCAGCTAGATCTAGAATCTAGATCTAGAGTAAATCAATCGTAAACACGGTCGTCTGATTACTTAGCTTGCTTCATGAATGGTTCCGTAGCGACAGGTAGATAGATCTAGATCTAGATCTAGTATAAAAAATTTGTGAAAGACTTTAAATCTTAGGCTAGGAGGCTAATCTAGACATGGATCGATTCATCCAGAAAACTCCTAAAGGGGACGTTCAAATAATATCTTACGCCTGGAAAAAAAAAGGGGGGAGGGGTTGGCTCCTGTACTGTAAAAGTTAAGTGTAAGAGGGGGGGGGGGGGGGAGACCAATGTAAAATTACACTTTTGTAAGGTGAAAAAATAATCAAGGAAAATATAATTTATTTCAACATAATTTTAAAAAATAATAAAAGCAAGCATAAAAAGAGAGTAACTATAATACACTATTCACTTAGAGTAAGTTCGAGCGGTAATTAAGCACTGCATAATTGTGGCGATACAGTGGACCTTGAGCGGCAAGCACGATATATGTATATATATATGTCAACTCGCACTTTATACACTGGTAGATATCTGGGCTACATAACAATTGACATGTAGATCTAGTCTAATTTTGATTACACCGGTGCGGTTAAAGTGGTAAAATGACAACGTACGTTTTTCTGGAAAAGTTCCGCTTGAAGCGTATTTAATTATTATGACACATGTGTGTAGATCTATTCATGTTTTTCATGAATACTATACTATAATTAATCATTTAAAAGTAAAGCGCATAGAAGAGTGATAGTAACACTGATTTGCGCAATATAAATGTCATATTATTATTTTAAGCGAATAACGTAATATTACGGGATTGAGGGGGGGGGGGGGGAAGTGTTAAAAAAAGTAAGATTATATTTGAACAGCCCCAAAACCACACTGGTCACACCTGCCCAACGTCAGCGAGCGTTTAAGGATCTGACGCATGTGTCAGGGGACAAACTGTTTTTGTACACCATGCAACCTCCATGCAGTTTTGTTTTTGTTTTTTTGGTAGACATTCACATTTAACTTCTGATTTTGATCAAACAAGACTCATATTGGTTACTTTTGATTGCAATGAGCATAGTAACAATGTATTCCAATAGTTCCGTGGCATTGTTTTAGCTATACACGTCTTGCAACTTTTCTTGCAACTTTTGCTAATTTTTCTTGCAACTTTTGCTATTTTCAAATGCAACTTTCTCTGAGGACAGATAGAGGGAGTAGCTTAGAAAAACAGGAAAGGAACCATCTTTTAGAGTAGGAAAATTGGACTGGCAGACGTCTCTACTGCCCAGGAAGAGGGACTGATTAGGAATAAAGAAGTCCTGCAATTTATGGCTCTGTTTTCCTCTTTGGCAACTTAAAGTTGCATGTTTTTGACAAATTTCCCTATATTTCTTCTTTTCAGTTAATACTACCACTAAATTGACCTCTCTGTTGCATGACTACCTACTGTATTTTTGGGTGACTTTTTCTTAAAATTAGATATAAAAGAATTGGGTACATTGACAAATGATTAATTGTCTTTATACAATTCAATTCATGCTCCTATCTGTTTTGGTTAGAAAGTTATCACAAAATCTGTACGTTTTTTCAAGTTTTCTCAAAACGACAAAAATTAAGGGGTATGGGTTGCGGCCCGGACTCTCATTTAAAACTCAAGGGGAGGATTTCTTTTATATTTGGTTTAACTATGTAAAAATGAATTTTCTGTAATCCTAAATGGGCTTTTTCATATATATATATATCTCTTACCGATTTTGAAAAATACAGTTTCGAGTGCTTCAGTTGATGTGAAAATGCGAAAAGTAACAGAGTCAAGCAATAGCTATGACATTATCCTCAATATCTCTTTAGAGGTTTCAAGTATCAAAACAAGCCCATTTAAGATCACAGATTTTATTGTTAGTGTGCTTATGGGAAAATATAAGCACTTTAGTCAATAAACTGATTAAACGAGAGCGCGGGCCGGATTGAGTCAAAATTGCTTCTGTACCCCAAAAACTTCAAATAGTTTCAAATTCCTTAAAGAAAGATTACATTTTGCTATTTGAATTTAATTTTGAACTCCTGGAGTATTTTATGATCACTCTGAATGATGCTGGTATGTGTTAATAACAAAGTTAGAAATATTAACTGCCACCTACCCTTAACTGAGTTTTCGATTTAGAGAGCTTGCTCAAATGGATGGGGAAAAAATCTGGGATATTGTTTTCTTTGGGTTAACCGCTGTGTTCGGATTAACCGAGTTTAGATTAAGCGGATTCTACTTTTGTCGTGGCTGCTATTATGGAAAAAAAAAAAGAAAAGAAATAAAATTTGGAGGAAACAAACAAATAACAAATGAAACGCAAGACTGTTGTACCTTTAATACGTAATTTAATGCACCAAGACAGTTGGTTGTGTACATGCCAGTCACACGCTTGAAGCTATCAGCAGTCACGCCAGTTCAATGTCTCTCTCGCTCATCTGCTGAGTGCCACGGACAAATACCCGAAAAAAACAGATCTGCTCTCAGACCACAAACACAAACATGTTGTGGGAGGTAGGAGGGTGTATCTGGTACGGGTAAACTTTTACTTTCACGCCCTCACACAGATGCACTGCTTCGGGGGTCAACCTGCACACTGTTTGCTGCAGATCACACACATATAGCCGCTAAAACTGTCGCAAATCAATTATTTTCAAGAACATTAATTCAAACCTAACTGCAAAATATCAAATTATGGGTTAAAACTATCAACCCAAACCCCCACGATTTTATCTTTACTTCAAGCTGAACCCCCCTCCCGATTGGTCCAAAGCGCACAAATTACTACGCGGTTAGGCTTAGTGAGATATAGCTCGATTAAAAAGAATCACATATTTCAAAAACTATTAATTTATGACGGATATAAAGTCGATATTCGTGTTCAGCACAACAATGTACAGTTAGAAATGGACAACTGGTAGCTATAAGTGGGAGACGGGAGGGAAAGTAAAAGAATATCCTGGTACGTCCTACTTCTTCTTTCCTTCTCTGTGTGGTAATGTCTCATGTTACCCACTCCTCCCTCTATCCCCGACACAATGATCATTTAAAGGACCCTACCTCTTTGCTTCC